GTGACACTGCGAAAGCCAAGGCCAGACCAGGCCTGTCGGCAGCCACCAGTGCCCGAGAGAGGCGGGGATGACTTTCTTCCTACTGTCTGTGAAGGGAGCCCCGTCCTGCTGACAGCTGGGCCTCACACTTGTAGCCTCCAGCACTGGGTGGTAAAGTGCACGGCAGAGGTAAATGCAGTGGCCCAGGACAGCAGGCTGATCTCACCCACGGGAGGCCGTGAACCTCCTACCTTCAGGTTTGTGATGAGCAACCTGGTCCCTATGGCTGGGAAACCACAAAAGTTGCCTGCACCTGTCCAAGTCCCTCTATGGCATCTGCTTTGCTTCCTGTCCCAAGCACCAAGTGGAGGTGGCAAGGCTGCCCTGTCTGCAGAGGCTGGGCTTTGAGTGTCATCTCTCTGCAGGGCACCATCTGTCACTGCTCCAAGGAGGCTGCGTGAGGACCCGGCCTGGCCAAACAGATCCATCTGGTGCAGCCCCAGCTATAAACTGCAGGTCATTGCCTCCCACCCTGTCTCTGGCTCGGGGCAAGAGCTGGCTCCGTGGGGACCCCACCAGCTATGATGCCCCCCTTGATTGGGTACTGACACCCTTCTCTCCCCACAGTGCTAAGGAGCACCCATGCACAGGACAAGGCAATGGCTCAGCTCCTGGGGACACTCCTCCTGCCACTCAGTCTTAGGTCCTGCATGTAAGACTGATTTAAATCACTTCCTCTGCTGCCTCCAGTATCCCTTGGCTCACAGATACGTGCAGAAGCACCAGACACCCAAGTGATAACCAGCAGGTGTCTGCCCAGCCCTGCTCTAGGTGGCTCTCAGCAAAAGCTCTGGGCAGGACCCTTCCCACCAGGGCCAGCTCCCCATATCCCCGAGTCCCCAAAGTGCCCCTGGAAGCATGGGGCCTTGAGCTTTGACTATGGGTGTCATTCAAAGTCACTCTGAGTCAAGACAAGTCACCGCATGCTGTCCTACCTTAAAAGTTTGTATCGTATGCCATAAAACAAGCCGTTTTAGTAAAACAATGAATTACTTAGTAACTTATTTTTTGTTCCTCCCTCGTTATCTGTGGATGATTCTGTTTACCTGTCCCTGATCTTTCCCACGTCACCCAGCAGACCCTGTTAATGGTGGCTGCAAGGTGGGCTGGATGGGACGGTGGCAGGGAACAGCCCAGGAGGAGCAGGCCTGGGCCCTCTCATTAAAAACCCTGGGGAAGAAGCAGCCATAGGCCTTCGGGGCGCTGGTGCCAAAGCTGGGATGGCCTTTCTTCTCATCTCTAGATGGCCCCAACAAGGTCAGGGTGGGCTCCACCCCTCATGGGCAGAGCCGAGATACCCCCAGCTAACAGCCTCTACCCATGAGCACAGACGACAGGGCTGCACCAGAAACCGGAGGCCACACCCTGAGTTTCCTTCTCACAGCCTCCCCAGCCAGGGCCAGGCTCCCGGGCTTCCCAGGACCTAACCCAGAGGTCAAGGACAGGCTGGCTGGACAAGTAAGCTTGGATAACGAGGTTCAAGCCCCCAGTCCCCAATGTATGAAATGATACGATCCCTGCCCAGGGGACCAGCCAGCCCAGGAAGCCTGCAGCCACATCACCATTCATTCCTCTCCCCAGGCAGGAGGCTCAGCTGTCAGAAGCAACTGAAATCATCTAAGCAGCTTAGTGGGCCTCTGAGAAAGGGACCAGTGGGGTGAAGGTGGGGACAGGTGAAGTGGGGAGTAAACCTCAACCTGGCCCCGGGACATAGTTCCACTCACTTTCGCTTCTGGAGACAAAGGTCACTTAAAGATGTCCCAGTGCCCTTGACCAGCCACGGGCCTGCCCCACCCCCCAGCATCAGAGCTGATGGCCTGGTTCTCTTTGCAAACATAGGCACAGGGGAGAGGGTCTAAACAGATGGCACAGCCCCTTCTGGCACAGCCACCATCGGCAGGCAGAAGGGACACTTCCCAGAGGCCTCTTCCAGATGGCCACCAGGGTAAATGCCAGGACCTATCTACTTCCAGCCTGGAAGAGGGTCCTGCAAGACCAAGAGAACAGCTAGCTGGGATCCAGTGTGTGGGGAAATCTGTTCTGAACCTGGACCTTTGGGAGAGAAATGGTGGGAAAGGAGCCTCTGCCAAAGGCAGCTGCATTTTCTGGCCCCTCCCTTCACGAGTCACCCTCAGAGCCTGGCCCAGGCCTACGGGGCTTCAGGTCCCACGATGGGGTCATGTCCTCCGGAAAGCGGTCCTGACCCCTCAACTGGATGAATAAGCTCTTTACACGTGTCTTATGGGGTGCCAGGGATTTAGCTGAGGGGTTTCGCTGTCTGCTTTGCAAGTGCAAAGTCCTGAGTTCAATACCTGGTATAAAACACACACACACACACACACACACACACACACACACACACACAAAACAAAAAAACCCTCCCAAAACAAAAAAACACAACAAGAACAACAAAAAACAACCAAACATGTGTCTTGTGGGCATTAACTTTCACCATACCTGCATTCAAGTCACAAACACATTCGTGTTACCAATGTTCTGCCACCTACCCTGGGCCACCCCGCGCTAGGCAAAGGGGGCCCTGGCCAAGAGGGTTCACAGTGGGCACCTGGAAAGGGCGAGGAAAATTTCTAGGGTGGGAGGCAGCCCTGCAGCCCCGGGATCCAGAAGGCTGAGCTCCCCAGGGCCGCTGCGCCTCCTCCTCCCGGTTCCCCCTTGGCTGCCTACCCACCTCTGGGGGGGGGCGGTCTCTGCCTGCATGGCTGCGCCCCAGTTAGGATTTGGGGACGTGGGTCCCTGCGCCGCTGTCCCTCCGAGGAGAGGATCGCCCCTCGCTGGGTGGGGCTGTGCAGACAAAAGCGGCGCCCGCCCAGGAACAAAGGCTTCGCCGCAGCCGCCGCACCTGCACGCGTG